GCATTATTATACATACATTCTTTTTTTGTTTATTTTGAGAAGCAAAAGGTTGTGTAACAGTAACATAAATTCTGATGGCACTCTTTCTCGCAGCTAGTTTTGAATATTCAGCTTTAAACTTGATGAAATCCTGTGCATCAGCTAATTGAGTGCCAGCGCCTGCTTCTCTTTGTGTTTTAAAAGTTACACGATAATCATTCGGCAAAGTATTAGTATTTTTAGTTAATGAAATAACTTTATTATGAATTGATGAAAGAAATTCATCTATAGTTGTAACCAATTCTTCAAACCATTTTGCAAGTAATGAAGTCCCATCTGATAACTTTATGAATAATTTGTATCCTAGCGCAAATTCAGATTCTTCATTACTGCTTGTCTCACTCTCACTAGCGTTCTTATTATTTTCATCTTCACTTGCAACAGATATAGGCGAAGAAGATTCAATTGTTTCCTATATAAAAAAAACAGTAATAAATAAATCAATAAAATTTCAAATAATAAAATCACAAGGCATCCAGGACGATCCCCAAAACCCAGATCACATTTTTTATGCAATAGAAACAACGTATATATATTGTTCTGTATAATTAATTTATTTAAAGAACAATAAGCCTTCTCATTGACGAAACAGTCATGTGACCCGTTTTTTGGGTGGTCGTCCTGAATGTCTCTAAAATCACTTTATCGTTATTATCTATTTTTGCCTTTGTTGTATCAGTTGATTTTTCAATTATTTCCTATAAAAAAAAAGATAAATAAATAAATACAGTACAATATACTGTATATTGTATAATATAAAAAAGATCAAATTACTTTATCATCCGCTTTTTTCCTTGTTGTATTAGTTGATTTTTTGTCAGGACTCAATTTGTTTGAGATATTATTACATCGTTCACAAAGAGAAAATTTGAATTGTCTTTTTAAGTTTATTCGATAATTATATTCCATAACTAGTTTGTGAATATATTCGAATTTAGGTGCAGCCCAGGTAGGTTCGTAGGAATGTGGGTAAGCTTGTTTAACCAAATCTGTTTGATTTTTCTTGGTTGGTACCAGAGATATTTTACAGTTGCATGTGCTAATATCTAAATCTGTAGCACAATATAAATATTTTCTGCACCCAAAGCAAGTACCGCGATAATATTTAAGTTTTGTATTTTTTGCATCCGTCATATGAAATTTGGCAAATTTGGAAAGAAAATTTTTACCATTTTTAGACTTTTTTTTATATTTATTTAAAATTTTTTTTTTTTAAATTCCCGATTTCTGGATTTCCAGATTTTTAGATTTCTGTATGATGTGTGATGTACGAAATTTGATGATCACGGTAATTTGAAAAGCACTGTAATTTTTGCCAAATAATTATAAGATATTGGTCATGCAACGATTAATATCATGAAATTTGTTTTTTTGAAGCAAATGATTGGTTGACATGTGCTGCGTAGCGGCATGTTTCAGCCAATCATTTGCCCGACAGAACAAATTTTGTAATATTTATTATCGCATGATCCAATATCGATGTTATTGTGCAATTATGATCATGATTTCTGAGTCGTGATTGGCTAACTGAGTTTTAATTCGGGATTGTTGTACTTACGTAATAACGTACAAAAAATAACAAGAAGAAAAAAATCTATAATCATAAGAGTTTGCACGATAACACGAGTTATTTAGCAGCCCAATCATAGTAATCTGATGGATAATACTAATTACAATTTTTTTAAATGATTTTTATACTTTTTTTTTGACACCTTAAATATTCTTCTTATCATCAAACCAAAACATCCTATTACTAATAATTACTTTTATTAAAATAAATGAGTTAATCAGCAAATTATTAAAATCTTTATTATAACAAAATTTAATCCATTATCATCCTTCTTCCTGATACCTTTTCATATCTTAGCATTTCTTCTAATATTTTTACCTTTGCTCTTAAGTGATCTCTCTCAACAACTAAATTTGTATTTACTTCTCGTAACAATCTATAAAAGTTTATAATTATTATTTATCCTATTTTACTATTATTATTATTTTTTAGTTTATTATTACCTTCTATTCTCGCCTTGCAATCGAACAAAGCTTCTTTGACCATTTCTTCTTCTTTGAGAGCGTAAAGTTCGATAACTTTGAGGCATTTTCTTTTTCTTCTTTTTACTATTATTATTATTATTATTTTTTTATTTATATTGGCAGCCTCGCTGATATCTCTATTAGATCAAAGCATATATATATACATATATTTAACTATCTAAATTATAGATCCGACATTCCCCGGCTACCTTTATGGGCGCCCAAGGATGGTCTGCCTCACCGGTTAAGGCTAATGCCCATACCAGAGGGCTGCACCAAGCTAGCCGGTGAAACTATAGCAAGATAGTTTCAATTCAAAGAGATTTTTAACTAAACTGAATTGGCAATTTTTCCCTTCTAACCTATCCTCCATTTTATCATGA